CAGTGGCCAACTGTGTCTCAGCCATCAGACCAGGGACCATGTCTGGGGAAAAGGAGAGAAGGCCAGGCAGCTGAGGCGTCTTGATGGCCTGTGTGTTATGTGTGGGCTAGTCCAGGCCCAGGCCAGCTGGCTGCCCTCTCTGTCCCTGCTTACCTACAGATCCTCCCTCCTCCCAATGGGCCATGCTTCCTCAGGGTCTCGCTGCCCTCCCTCTCCTGCCAGCCCCATGCCATGGACACAGATCCTTTTATCTAAACCAGAGAAGGCTTATCTCCTCCAGCGCCTCTGGGAGCAACCTGATGCCTGGCCAGTGGGGAGGGTGGGCTGGCAGGAGGAGGAAGCTTCAGGTTTGCCCTGGTCCTGAGGCCCCTCCTCTCTCTGATCTCCACCTCTCACCTGTGGGTGGAGGTGGCAGAGCCAAAGCCAGAATAGCTCAAGATCTTGCACATCTGAGGGTCAGGAAGTGATGGGGTGGGGACTGGAAGCCCGCTGGTTTTGGAGTCTTAGGGGAAAGTTCCAACTATACACCAGAGCAGGGGGGCAGGGGTGACGGGTAGTGCAGTGCAGAGTTCCTTTGTGGCCTTTTGACTTGATTCTTTGGCAAAACAGCTTATTTCCCTCCTAAACCCTGAAAATGCTAAAAAAAACGTTATCCTAGTTTTCTACCTCAGTGGGCTATTAGTTTGTCCAGATTAATTGGCATTTCCAGGGTAAGATGTGAACAAGGACAGTGTGACACTGTCTGTCTGGCCCTGGGCTGCAACCTGCCCTGTGATTGGTAGGCACCTGGCAGGGACTGGTGAGGACTATGCAAATACAGAAGGGGCCAGTCCTTGGAGAAGGACATCATACTTGGAAGATTGGGAGGTCAGCACAGGAGAGGAAGACCCTGGAGGAGATGGACTGACAGTGACTGTGGCAACGGGATCAGGCATGTCAGAGATGGTGGATTGGCTCAGGATAGGGTGAGATTCAGAGCCATTGTTCACAGGGTCACTATGAGTCATAATTGACTTGATGGCACAGAACAATGCAAATGAAGTGGGTTACAGCCTGCTAAGCAATTGTCTGGTCCCCCTGAGAGGATTGGCTGGTGCATGGTCCTGGTGGGAAGGCTTGGCCTTGAAATTGACAAGCATTTGTAGATCCACCCATACAGTTTCACAGAGGGGTGCAGATCGAAAGCAGAAACAAAGGCAAGGGACACGGTCAAGGGTACAGCATTGACGACAGAGAGGGTCCCGGGCAGCAGAGCTGCTGGTAACATATGGCAGAGGATACTGTCTCCAGAGGGCTGAGAAAGGGAGACCTTGTCTCTTCACTGGCATCCCCTGCTGATCCCGATCTTTTTTTTTTCTATATTTTATTAATTTTCATAAACATTTACAGAGATTTTGGGTTTCCATTCATTCATTGTTGCACTATTCTCTCTACCCTCCTCCCAGTTTGCTCTTGTCCAAATGCCACAGTGCTTGTCAAAGCCAGTTCTGATCTTGAGTTGCACTGTTCCTTTATTCATTGTTCTTTTTATTTATTATGGATGTCCAGTGACAAATGTGCTACAAACCAAAACATCAATGGTTCAAATCCATCTGCTGCTCTGAGGGAGAAACATGGGCAGACTGATCGCATCTGTAAATTCTGTCCTGGAAACGGGATGAAGGTACATTATGAGTCAGAATTGGACTCAACAGCACCGTGTTTGGTTTTTATTTATAACTTTCTATTGTGACTTGAATGAATGTTAAAAGGGCTGCTTGGTTCTCCATTCATACATATTTTACGACATTGATTATAATCCTCCCATTTCTTCCCTGTGATTCTCATTTCCATCCATCCTATCTCATCTCATCACCTAAGCTGTAACCCTGGGTAGACGCTGCCCTCTTCCTCTTGTAAGGTTGACAGTTCTAAGGAGTTAGTATCTCCCCTGTGTTACTTTGTTGTTTATTGCCTTCAGTTGAGCATGGCTCACAGCGACCCTCCCTACGTACAAAAGCCTGAAGCTCCTCCACAACTATAGACATTTATCAAAGTGCAGTTTCCAGAGGCTTGTTGTTCCAGAGGATACCACTCCTGCTTCCACACCTGTCGTAGTATGTAACTGGTACCCTTCAGTCACCTGCAATATACAGCAAGCTCTGAACCCTTTCCTGTCCTGAGCCAGTCTCATTAATTCCAACACACCAAGCCCCCCCCCCCCTTGCCCCAGTTACTGTATCAGTCCATCTCATCCAGGGTCTTCCTCTCCTGCTGTCTGTCCACTGTTCTGTTCATGACCTTCTCCAAGGACCAATCTTTCCTGGCCGCATGCCTCAAGTGAGGCAAAGCTTCAAAATCCTAGCCTCCAAGGAGAGACTTGGTGTCACCCTCTCCAAGACAGACCTGTTTTGACGGTCCATTGTACGTTCAAGACCCTTCTCCAGCACCACAGCTCAAAGGCCTCTGAGATTCTTCTGTCATCCTTATAGACCTGTCTATTGTTTGGCTTCAAGTTGTGTCACAGGGGTTAGAGTTCTAGGCTCAAGGGCTGAGAAAGGGTGTAAATTCTGTTCCTTAATAAACCACTTCCTAAGTTAGGGTCAAGGACTGCAGCCTTCAGTATGGACTGAGGCTCAATGTCAAGAAGACAAAGATTCTCACCACTGGACCAATTGGCAGCGTCAGGATGGATGGTGAAGAGATTGAGATTGTTCACAGCTTCAGTTTGCTCGGCTCCACAGTCAACACTCTTGGTACCAGCAGTCAGGAAATTAAAAGGCATGCAGGACCAGCTCAGGTAGCAGGACTGGACTGTGTCCTCCAGCACTGAGGAGCTCTGAAGCGTCCGCAAGGAGCTGAGACTCCAGCCCTGAAGTGCTCCAGGATGAGTGTCCTTGGAGGTCTCAGGCCAGCCCCTTTCCCGGGCTAATTATCAGAGAGCAAGGATCTCACACAAGGCACCAGGGAGTCAGTTCCTAACTCCTGTAACCACAGGGGCACCCGAGTCACACGCAGTTCTGAACTGAGTACAAGGAGCTGGGGCAGCAGAAGGGGCACTCATATCCACTCTGGGTTCCCAGCCTGCTGGTCAGGGGCTTGGTCAGGGGGGGAGCCCTGGGTACCAGCTACAGTATACGCTCTATGACCTCGCTGCCGCACCAGGAAGGTGGGTGGGCTTTGTGTACAGAGTTGGATAGATGGTCAGAGGGAGTGTGGGGTCAGTTCCTTTGGGCGAAGGTCAACTCAGGGTCCACTCTCATCATGCATCACTACCATGAGTCAGTGACCCTGGGCTGGGGTGACACCAGCCTCTCCCCACTGGCAGGATGGCATGAGCTATTGTATGGACACATGGACAGGGTGGGCGGGGCTGCCCATTGTCACACTTCTCTGATCAGGAGATGGTGAGCGTAATCTGGAAGATGTGAGTGAGGCTGTGGTTCAGGTGCTGGAAGGACTTCAGTTGTGTTGGGGGTGATGGGGAGACATGAGAAAGGAGGCCATCAGGAAAGGAGGGTCTGTGGAAATCCTTCCTTGCTGGCCCCTGGAAGGCAGCCCTGGCAGGTAGGCAGTCATTCTAGGTGTGCACCGGCTGTTGAGGGGCCGTTGGAGGAAGGTGGCTGGCCCACGGACACACAGATTGCAGCCCGGAGTGGATTTCAGGGTGGGGGGAGACCTTAGAGACAGAGGCAGCAGGAGGCCTGGGCACAATGCCCACAGAGGAGGGAGAGGCTGTCGTCAGTGTGGGCCTGGCCTGCGGGGACCAGACACCCAGTGGACTGTACAAAAAACCACAAGGGAGAGAGAATAAAATTGCCTTTTTTATTTTCAAAAAATTATAGGGGTGGTGAAGCCATATGACAAACTGTAAAGTCAGTCCCTACAGATCTACCGACCTGGGGGCGTGTGAGCAGCTACAGGGCCTGTGTTACCAAGGCAACCGAAAAGCCTGCCAGTGTAGAGGCGGGTACCCCAAAGAGGCCTGCACTCGTGCTTGCCCGCTTCCCCCTTCCCTGATTCTAGACATTCGTTAGTGGGTTAATTTGCTCAGGGAGCGGCAGGGTCCCCATGGCCTCATCATCTTGTGTGCTCCCTCAGCTCCCTGTCCACCACTTGCGTGTCCACTGGCCCCCAGGGTGCAGGACTGAGGTCTGGGGGAGCCTGCTGGGGGCAGATTGTCAGGAAGCCCAGCCCCCTTAGCCATCTCCCCATCAGAGGGCGTCCTGTAGCCCCAGGATACAATAAAGACAGGAGTGCGACAGAGATGGGGACATATGAGGCACTGAAATGAGGGGCTGAGAGGATACCCCCGGGGTCCAGTACCCTCTGGCAGCCTGCAGGGCTAAGCTCTGCTGGCCATGGGGTCCTGGGTTGGTGGGGTGCCCCTGCAGGGAGCGTTTAGAGAAGGTGTGGTTTAATGGCACCAGGTCTGCCTCTGTTCAGCAGGTGAAGGCAACGTCAGGGCCCAGGACCTCTGAGGGCAAGTGGAGTCTGCAGTGAGGCCCTGGGGCTGACACTAGCCCGGGGTGGGGATGGGGGTGGGGGGTGTATGCCTGATGTTTCTAGATGCCCCAGGGGACCTGAGCAGGGCACAAGTCATACCCCACACAAAGCGCAGGGCAGATGTGGAGTATGGCCTGGGGTGCATAAGCCATCTTCTGCCCCAGACCCCAGATGAGCCAAGGGGAGAGGGGGACTGGAGGACAGTGCCTGGGCTGCGGGAGGCCCAGGCTGCGTGGGTGGGGTCTGGCCCCTCCAGTTTTAGGGGTAAATTGCAGGCAGTGTAGAGATACCCTCATGTCCCGCTCTTTGCTCCTAGAAGGGCTGGGGAGCTGTGGGGAGAGGGTCCTGGCTGACAGGGTGGTCTCAGGAAGCAGTAGGGAGGCAGATGAAGGGAGAGAGAAAACCAAAACTATGTGTGTCCCAGCCTCAGGGGCACCCCTCCAACATAAACCCACCCCTCCCCTGGGTTGCCACTCCGCCTAACACCACCCTGCAGCTGCCCTCAGTTCACGGCTTCATTTGTGGAGATAGGCGTCCAGCCAGAGCTGCCCGGACTTCTTCAGGGAGCTGTGGAGAGAGGGGTGGGGTCAGGAGCATGGTCATGAGGGGTGCTGAGTCTGCCCTGGGGTCTGCAAGAACCCCCAAGCACTCCAGGGAGGATCCCCACTCAACCCTGCTCCCAGAGAATTTTTGTGCCAAGAGGGCAGGCTTCTGATGTGGCCCCACCAGTAAGTGTCACTGGGTCCCCCACTGACCCATCCCCTAGCCCCAGAGGGGCCAGCCTGCCTCCAGCAGTCTCAGGCAGCCCCTTACCCCACAATGTCGATCAGCGCCCTGAGTAGTGGCTTCTCTTGGTACTCAATGTTGTACTTGTTACACATGGACTTCACCAGGGGTGCGATCTTGTGCAAGTTGTGCCGAGGCATGGTGGGGAAGAGGCTGGGAAGGGCGACAGGGAGCATGAGGGGAAGACCAGGAGGGGGGCCACGGGCCACACCGCTCCCACCTCCCGGCTAAGACAGGCTTTCCCAAAATGTCAAGGCTTTCCCCCCAAAAAGAAACAGATGTTCTAAATGAGTTAAGGGGGCAGGTTGAGAGGGGGACAGGAGGCCAGAGGAATGGGAAGTGACAAGTGGTGAGACAAGGATGAGGGACAGCAGAGCTGGCGGCTGCCCCTCAGCGACATGTCCAGTAAGGTGCCTAGCCAGTCTCAGTTCCCCCCCCCGCCCCAGTGATGTGGGTCATCTACTCCCTGCCCCATCAGCTCCCGCTGAGATGCCCATGGAAGCCTTTCTATAAACCACAAAGGGGGGGGGGTATGGTTATCTGTATTCCCAGGACCCGGGAACCTGCCCAACCCTGGGTCAAGGCAGCAGCATTGACCCTCCTGCTTCTGGGGGGCTGGCTACTGTCAGAGTCGGGGTGTGGGCAGGGACAGGCAGGCACACTCACTGGTGCTCGATCTGGAAGTTGAGGTGACCGCTGAACCAGTCATTGAAGAAGGACTGCTCCACGTTGCAGGTGGCTGCCAGCTGTGGGGGTGAGGGGCACAGAGAAGACCATCACTCGAAGGAGCCTGGCCCCAGGTCTGGCAGTGCATGGAGGGTGGGGTACCCTCTGTGCCAGCCCTTCAGAGGGAACCTAATTTTCTTAGCTCTGTGGCTACTTAGTGGGCGAGCATGGGCAGCCCTGGCCTACCAGGGCCATGATTCTGGGGGCCGAGTACATGACAGGGTGACCACTTTGACGCCCTCACCTGGCTGCTGAACCAGTCTTGGTAGGGCTCGCGGTCAATCTCCATGACAATGTGATTCATCTGCGTGACCCACACGAACCAGTGGCTCTCCAGGAACCTGGAAGAGAAGGTAGCTCAGCCTCCAGCACAGGGGCAGGAGGGGGCAGCCCCACTGAAGTCCTGCCAGCCCTCTGGGGAGCCCCAGATTAACCATCCAAGCTGAGGTACCTGATGAAGTTGAGGAAGAGGATAGATCCTAGAAAGCCAAAGTGAGGGGTGTAGGTGAAGAAGTAACGAACGTAGTAGCTGATGGCCCAGGCCAAGTCCTGCAGGGAGAGACAGGGTTAAGGTGCAGGCCTGCCCAAGGCTCCTTGCACAGGCCACATGCCTGATATGACACACACACACACACACACATACACTCCTGCCAGGCCATGGTGCCTCTGGGAAGTTGGGTCCCAGGTTCTAAGAGCTTGTCACCTTTGTAAACACTGCCCACCCTTCATGGGGCCTGCATGGCGGGATCTGTTTCCAGGGAAATGCTAAGTGTTTATCAGCAGGAAGGGGGCAGTGTGCTCTGCAGGGGGAGAGGGCAGTGATAACGGTCAGATGTCAGTGGAGAGAAGTGCAGGCCAGGCCTTTCCACAATCCAGAATATTGACGCAATCCCTCCTCAAAGCTGGCCTCCAGTCTTGTCCGTACTTGTCAGCTCTGTCCTCTCCTGGACAATCACTCCTAGACTTCTGGCCAAGGCTAGAGGACTTGAATTCAAGGCCCCCCCCTACCAACCATTGATACTGCTGCCTGTTTTCCCATGTCCGACAGCCCTCCTGTCCCCTCCACTCCTCGTTCTGCCCCTCACGGGGGACCTTCCAGGGTCCTGAGCTTGGGTGTCTTCCTGGGTAAGCCCGCCCCACTGTCCCTCTGTCCACTGCAGCCTCATAGCCCATCTCTGTCCACCTCCTCTCTGACCCCAAGTCCACCTGTTTCAGCTGCACCACAGCCACCCAGTGGACTCTCAAACCATGGCAACTGGAGCCAGTTCCTAACCCCAGATCTTCCCCCTGGCTAAGCCACCACACCCAGGAGCCAAGGAGTGGAGCAGCCTCTGGCCCCAGTCTGGGGCCGTTCCCCCTCAATTCATCATCCCCAGACAGTGATCTTATGACCATTCCCCATCTGTATGACCTGGGATGGACATGTGCTATAAGTCATAATGATTCCAATCCCTCCTCCAGACCTTTCTAGAGCACAGCTCGGGCTACCTGGCTGCCATCTTTATAGCCATGACAGGCCATAAGAGAGGAGACCAAGAGAGAGGAGACCACGAAGAGAGAAGGAAAACCCCAAGGAGAGACCCCTAAGAGGAGACAGGAGACCCCAGAGTGGTGGGAGGAAACGGCTTCAAAGTCAAAGCAGACTTTCAGGATGGAGCAGCCAGTGGTCAGAATGGTCGAGATGAGACAGGGAACAAGTTCGTGAAGAGGGCCTGGGAGGCATCCCTTGGGGTGGCCGCTGGCCATTGCAGGGCCATGGAAATGGCTGGAGTTCACTAGCAAGGGTTTCTTGACCTCATGCTATTGGCATCTTGGGTCTCATGGGACTGCTGACAGTCAAGACACTGGTTTGACTCCACCAGCTGTTCCTGGAAGATGCTGAGGTTTCTAGTCTGTGAGTCAGAATCAAGTTGACAGTGGTGGCTTTTGGGTGGTTAGTGGTTCTTAGCGTTCAATGTCAAGGTCCCAGTCAAACACCAAGGTCTATGCTCTGAACTGACTCGACAGCACTGGGGGCTGTTCCAGCGAGGTGCGGCCCTTCCCCTGTCCTGCTCCTCACCCACCAGAGCCTCCAGTCCGCTCACGCTCTTTCTCTCCTTCCCATAGAGTCATCCACGCATAGCTGACTCACAAACCTTCAGAGGCTGCACTGCACCGGAAGACCGCCTCTCTGAACTGCATACCTTTGGGTTGACAGTGTTGTACCCACAAGGCCACCTCGCTACCTACAGTCCTTATAGAAATTCCCAAGTGTCCTTGAAGGGCAGGACTTCCCTGCTGAGAACCACTGCCCAGGGCCTCACTGCTCCTGGCACCTCGATTCACCGTGACCAGTCAGAACATCACAGGGCGAGATCTAACGATCAAGGGAGGGCTTACTCTCGGCTCCAGCACCAGAACCAGTTCACAACCTGCCTCGGGGCACCATAAAACCACGGGTCTCTGCCAAACGCTTAGGTTTAAGACCTTTTTTGCAAGTCGATTCCCAGGTGTTTCTTCTAAGGCATCCATCCATCCATCCATCCCAGGGTGGGTTGGAACTACCACCCTCACTGTTAGCAGTCTTTGTACCCGTCAGGGAGTTCTGAGCAACCCAGTGAGCTGTACTTTCAACAGCAGAGGCCTGGGCTGGAGGCCTGAGCCCTCACTCAGCAGTGGCGAGGGCAGGGCTGCGGGCCCCCGCTATCAGAGGTCACCGGAGTGGCCCTCTCGGGTTTCTCCGGCTCTGCCATCACAGCCCTCCTGCATCACCATCTGACATGCTTTTCCTGCTGTCTGTTTACGGCTTTGTTCCTGGTGGAACAAAGTGCAGTGAGAACGATTAAACATCCACGTCAAGCAACCTCTGGTGCAAAAGCGGATTAAAATACCCCAGGGCTTTATCCGCAGACCTGGCACTGGAGGACTCTGGGTCCTGTTCCAACAGGAATATTTCGGGACCCCGGAGACCCCTGCGGGACAGCACTGACCACAGCAGCCAGGGTTTGGGTTGAAGGCCCAGGCGCTCAGCTGGTCCAAGCCCCCTCCTTCTCTACAGCCCTTCTGACCACAGGAGTCAAGCCGGCTTAAACACCCTGCTCTAGCTGGAATAGCCACCACTCCAGAAACAGCAGTCCTGGAGAACTGCTCATGTTCTGAACAGGACATTCCTGAGTGAGGGCAAATGCGCTTTCCCGGACAGGCCTGGCAGAGGGAGAGCTACGCTTGCTCCCCAATCAGCCCCAATACCCTCCAGGTACATCTTTGCCTGTAATTTCAGTGTCAACATCAGACAAAAATGCTTTGAAGCCTTTACAACCTTGAGACAAACACATTGTTAGATGCTATCAAGTCATTTTTTTGGTCACAGAGCAGAAGTGCCTTGTGTAAGATGAAGGCTGGAATCTTTACGAGAAAAGCCCATCAAGATAGACTTAAAAGAAAAGGCCAGCCAGACCTGCTGGACCAGCTAGGTGACTGTCCACTCACCTGCCCCCTCCTGTGCCCCTGTCACAGGAACTGCCAGGCCAGGCTCTGCCTGTGCCCAGCGGAGCTGAGCTTATCGGTCAGGGCACAATCAGTTCTTGCCCAGACCCTGCTGACATGACTCCACATGCCAGGCAGGACACACTGTACCCAGGGAGCAGCCCCAGGCCGGCCTCTCTCCTCTCTGCAAGCAGAACCAGAGGCTCCTCTGACCTGTCTCCTCAGACAGTGCTGCTCCCAGGGTCTCAGGGGCCAGCAAGAAGGGGGTTGGGGATGACTGCACTATCACGCTGCTTTTGAGAACCTTCTCAGGGCTCTGCAACGGCAGTGGCTGCCCGGAGGGTTGCAGTGTGTTGGCGGGTATTTTTAGGGCTCTTCTGCTGAGACCTCCCTGGCTCCTGGAAGTTTTGGAGGGAGTCTTTTCCTAGGTATGACGAGGCAGCTGGTCCTGGGGACACAGGGACCCCTGCAGCCCCAACCCCGCTCCCCGCCACCCCGACCCCGTCACTTACCACCCAGTCTCTGCGGACAATCATGGTCATGATGATCTGGTACTGGAAGTACATGGGGATGAGCAGAGGTGGTCCAACTGTGGGGAGGGAAGAGGGCTTAGTGGTGGTCCCCCGCCTGCTCACAGAGGGTCACCATGAGGTCCTCCCCATCACCAAATGGTGGACAGACAGCGCCCACCACACAGGGATCCCTGAAGGGGATCTGGAGCAAGCTTTGGAAGACTGAGCCTTGGTGTTCCCCATCTGTAAAATGGGCTTAGAAGGGCTGGACAGGCTGGATGCCCACAGCTCCTTCTCTAACAAGGTTCAGCGCTTGGCAGAGACCTCGCTGTGGGCGAGCTCAGCGGTGGGGGGGCGCTGTGGGCGAGCTCAGCGGTGGGGGGGCGCTGTGGGCGAGCTCAGTGGAGGGGGTCGCTGTGGGCAAGCTCAGCGAGGGGGGGCGCTGGGCAGCACTCACTCAGAAAGAAGTACTCGTGCTGGTGGTTGTAGGGCATGTGCTTGATCTTCTTCATGCCATACTGAGGAGAGAGCAGAGATGTGAGTGCCCGGCACCCCACTTCCTCCCACATGCCAGCATGGCATCTGCCCCTTCCTGTCAGCCTGGTCCTGCCAAGCCTGGGGCATCACCATCTGGGCTCCAGGTAGCTGCTGCTAACAGCTGGGGATGTTGCCTCAGTGAGTGCCCAGCCCCAAGCTGCGTCCTGTCTACCTCTATCTGCATAAGCCTCAGGCAGCTGCTTGAAAGACAGGCTCAGAGCTGGTTACTGCCCAAGGCTACTCAAAAAGCGGGCCGGGAATCCCAGAGGAATCCAGATGTTCTGCTGGAGACAGAGGGGCAATCTCCCGTACTAGTTAGATTCAATTTGACAGTACACACACAAAATAATTCATTTTTTTTTAAAGCAGGCCAGGGTGGGATCGAAACCCCAGAGTGGACTCAGGTCCTTTTGTAAGAGTCTGCCAAATGAGTGGGTATGGAATGAATGCACCATAGGAGACACTCTCGGGCCGGGGCACATGGGGTGGGACTAGGTCTGAGGTGTCTCCATCCCTCAGGAATAGACAAGGCTCCTGGAATGCCCTGAGTCACCCTGCTGGGTCCTGGGTACCTACTGGGACCACCTTGGCCAGGAGAAGCAAAATGAGGGTCTGGAGAATTTTTGGGTGCCAGTTGGTAACTTTTTGAGTACTCCCACCTCCCCAGATGGGCACGATACATGGAGGTGGCCAGCAGGAGGCACCAGCCTATCTTCTTGGACGTATGCCTGGTGTCTGAGGTGTCCCTAGGGCACCTGTCCCCTCTCTCTCAAGCTGCAGCGACTGAGGGCCAGGCTGGGGCTTAGAGACCCTCCTTGAACAAAGCTGCTCAGGCACCTCCAGAGATGAGCTTAGTGGTCTTTGGTCCCGTGGTCTGGGGCCAAAAGTGGAGGCCCACTGGACTTCGAAGGCCAGGTCCACGTGGACAGGCCAGATACGGCACCAGCAGACCTGAGTTCAAACCAACCTGCTCCTCCATCAGGGCCGATCCCCCAAGTGAGTGCGTCGCTGAACCTCCCACCTGACACCCAGTGTTCCTGCTTTGGACAGGAGCCAGAGACAACACTGGGTCACTGCCAAGGCTGTTGCGACTCGGTGCCAGGCCAGGCCCTCCCTCCCCAGGGGTTCTTGTGGTCCTGAGGTGAGAGGGGTTAGAGAAATTTCCGCTGTCATCTAGGTCCCAATATCCGAGTTCTGGGGCCACCAGAACCAGAGTCCAGAGAGGGTTGGGTGGATAGTCCAGAGCGTCCCGAGGCCCTGCCTCCTGGCGTGAGGGGCATGTTCCTGGCACACCTGCCAGGCTCCACCAGAAGGGATCACTTTCCTGTTTGGCCCTCTGGGATTGTGCGGGGACCTTTGCTTATGCCCAAGAGGCATGTGGTTGGCACCAAAACTATCATGAAGGCCGGGGCTGAGGCTGACGCTGGAAGCCTCTAGGGGACCTCTGACCAGTGCCCAGAGGGGGCGGGGGCAGAGCAGTAGGGCCTAACAATGGGGCTTGTTGTAATTTTTGGGTGTCAGCGCGTGGACTTTCGACTCAGGAGCCCCACGTGGTGCTGCAGAGCTGCCCCTGGGGTGTTCTGGGTGGAATCAGGAGCAGCTGAGGGACTGGGGGCTCACTGTGGCCCAACTCCAACGATAGAATGGACACAGGCTCACAGGGAACAGGGACAGTGTGTCCCCAAGACAAGGCTGATAGTGGGGACTCAGGCGGGGGCAGTGGGGGAGGCAAGCTTCCTGGCTTCCTCCAGTGGTCAGCCTCTCCAGACCACGAGGCCAGGCTTAGGGGCTGGGTGAGGGGCAGGAGAAGAGGACCTTTCAACTCTGGAATATTTTTTTATGAAAGGAAACTTTCAAGTATCTGTTTGATGAAGCAGTGTGGACTGCCCACTGTTTTGTACTGCACTGCTTCTCACACACAAAGGCACAGCCATCAAGAAGGATGAGGCTAATCTCGTCTTCTCATGGGAAGGGTCTCACAGTTGGTGAGGTGGAAGCCTACAGAACAGATTATAATCTTTGTTTCCTTCTTAAAAACAAACCTACACGTTTAGCAGTGCATAGAAAATCTCTAGAAGCATATAGAAATCAGCTGTCATGTGATTCTGACGTAAGGTGTCCCTATGTGCTCCACAGGGCTTTCAATGCTGATTTTTTTTTGAGACGCACAGCTCAGGCACTTCCATGATACCTGGGGCGGGGGGAGGTTCAAACCCACAAGTGGTAAAGAGCAATGATGTCATCTTAAAGGCTAAGGTGTGCCTGAGTCAAGTCATGCATTTGAGAGTTGGACAGTGAATAAGGATGACAGAAGAATGAATGTGGTGTTGGAGTAGTGAATATTCCATGGACTGCCGAAAGAACCAACAAGCCTATCTTGGAGGAAGTGCAAACAGGGTGCTCCTTTTATGCAAGGATGGTCTTTGAACTTGTTGTCAGGAGGGGCAAATCTTTGGAAAAAGACATCATGCTGGGAAAGGTTAAGACAGACTAGGAAGAAAGGCCTGGCAATTTACCTGTAAAAATCAACCAATGATTGTCACAGCCTGATGCATCACTAATCGCGGGGAAGGGGTAGGAAGGGACAACATTTCATCCCACTGGGTACAACAAGGTCACCAGGAGTCAGGGGCAAAGAACCAACAACTGGGAAAGCACAAGCTGGAGCTGCGTCTCCCAGCCCACAGGGGGGAGGAAGCACGTGGCACTTCCACGCGGAGGCACATCCATTATTGATGAGTGAGGCCATTCCGTATAAATTCCAGCCTGAATTATTCAGGGCGTCCAGGAAGGTTTCTGGGGTGCATCAGACATGCACGTGTCTGGCTGATTCCTCCCCCACCCCCCATGCAGGTAAACGCCTGCCATGCCCGCGTCGCTGCCCCGCTCCTCCTACCTCGACGGGCTGCTTTGTTCCCAGGACAAACACATGCAGCATGTTCACATCCGGGTCCTTGTGGAAGATGTTGGGTTTGGCGTGATGCTGAAAGTGGCGATGGTTCCACCAGTTGGCTGAGGCTCCCTGTCGGGGAGAGGGCAGGAGGTGAGCAGTGCGTTCTGATGGGGACTCGAGCCACGGCCGCTGCCTCAGGACCAACTCCAGCCCACAGCTGGAGGTTCCATGATCCTCCAGTCAAGCCCAGAGGAGCTGGCCAGTCTGTGGCCAGGACAACAGAATGCCTTCAAGCCTTAGCCTCATCTGTCCCACAAGTAGAATAATAAGAAGGACTATGACTGGACCTCAGGGAGTGGTCAGCAGGGTGGGTGTGGTCCAGAGCAGTCCCTTCCATGCCCACTCCTCTCCTACACCACTGCTGTACCAGGATGGTGAGGTGTGCTCCCTCCCACATGACCCGGCAATTCCACTCCTAGATGCGGCCTCCAGACGGGAACACCCAGCCACACGGCGGCTTGTTCACTGCGGCACCACATGCAACCGCCAAGGAGAAGCAACCCAAATGCCTACCATCGGATTCACAGATAAATGTGGCACATGTACGTGTTGTGTTTTGTGCCACCGAGCCAGAATCTACCCACAACCAACTCTCCAGTGGGTTTTCAGAGGCTGTAAACCACACCGGAGGAGCTGAGGTGAGAACAGCCACCGGACTTGAACCGTCTCACTTTGGGTTGTCAGCACAACTCCCTACCCACCAGCACACCAGACCCCTGTCTGTGGTTTACCTTTTAAGCCAAACAGTAAATGGGTCTACAGGGTGATCAATGACACCAGGGAGGTACTCAGTCCACACAACAGTTCTGCATACAAGATCAAAAGGGCAGCATGTGCCCAGGGAGAAAGCTCAGGCTGGTCCAGAAGGACCAGGTGGCTAACCCAAAGTTGACGTCTTCTCTTGCTGTACCAAAGCACCAGCAGCGCTGAGAGAGAAGATGGACGATCGCCTCCCTGGTAATTCTCAGAAACTCAGAGGGTCCGACTTGATGGCAGTGAGCGAGCGAGAGCTCAGAAGGCAGGAAGGGAGGGGATGGATATCAATGGAAACAAGGCTCACCGGGAAGAAGTGGGAAGATGTAGCTATGAGTGTTCTAATCAGTGTCGTAAAACAAAATGTGCACAAACAGCTGAATGGAAAATTAACTTACTCCATAAACTTATTCAGACCACAGCTGAAAAAGAAAATTAAGACACTAAAGAGCAGTTTGGTTTGGAAGCAGGAGTGGCACCCACTTCCTAAAGCACATGCCTCTGGAAACTATGAACTTGGAAAAATGATAGTTATGGAAAGGCACTAGGTCTTTTCATAGAATCGCTATGAGTCACGCTTAACAAACAACAGAGATAGCAAAGGGGGAAGGATAAAAGGTAAATAAAAGGAACAAAGCAGGTTTGTATCTGAATTGCGTGGCACACACAGGCACAGAGCATGGACACCTGCTCAGATAATTTAAATTTTTTGTGCGTCTACCATCGAATCGGATCTGACTGGTACAGGAGGCGATTGCCCCTCCTCCTCTAACAGAGCATCCTTTTGCCACTAGGAAACCAGAACTCCCTAGATAATTCTTGAAAACATTATGCAACATTTGTATAAAATGTCTGTTGTATACCATTTAGTCGGAACTGACCCACCACTGACCCTCTGGCAGGATTTCAGAGGCAGTTTATTCACCCTGGAGGATACAGCTCACCCCTCTCCAGTGGACCAGCTGGTGGACTTGAACTGTGTGCCTTCAGGACTGCAGTGCAGTTTCTCACCACTAGGCCACCAGAGCTCCCTCTGAAATGTCTAGTATAGAGAAGCCGACTGGTGGTCATTAGGGCTGCAGAGGGTGTGAGGTCAAGGTCTGATGGCTAAGGAATGTGAAGTCTGATTTGTGAGTAATAAAGACATCCTGGACTGTGACTATGGTGATGGCTGCACAAATGTGAACACAGGCAATGCTACTGATTTGACCACTTTAAAGATGGTGCGGTATGTGAATTGCATCTTCACAAAGCTATGGAAAGAATGAAGCCCTAAAGGCTCATTATGATGTTGGCCAGAGGCAGCGGGGACAGCCAGACCCCTTATCAGGAGGGTTGCCTTGGCTGCTGAAACATTCAACATTAACCGATGTGGCATTCTTGAGCGGTGCAAGACAGCTCACATTCTCAGCTGCTAAGGGAAAAGCTGGTGGTTCCAGGCCCCCTAGAGGTGCCTCGGAAAAAGGGCCTGGCAATCTCTGACCAGAAAAATCAGCCCTGACAACTTTAAAGCGTAGCTCTGCCCTGGTACACACAGGAGTCACTGTGAATTAGGCCAGTAGGACGGTGGCTGGTGTGAGCCAAGAAGCACGACAGGAGTACTCACTCCCAGGCTCCAGATTGTTGTCTGCCAGCTCAAACTTTTGACAAACGTTGCTGACGTGTGTCCCTGAGCAAAGTGAGATGGGAGGGGACAGGCTTTTCCGATGCTTTAATCTCAAAACTCGACAGTGAACAGCCGTTGAACAGACAGGAGTCTGGCCGTCTACCAAACAACTCGTTTCCAAAAACAATCCTTTTACATGGCCTCTGCTAACATCCCCGCAGGGCACTAACAGCCACCAAGAGCTACAAGCAGCAATGACTCAGGCCCTGCGAGCCGGTAGGACGAGGGGAACACTCAGCTTCTAGCCAAAGGGGACAAACTTGCTGGGAAGAACCAAAAGGCTTTGGCACCAAAAGGCTGTGGGCCAAGACCGACTGAAAATAAGTACGACACACCACACAACAAGATAAAGGTAAATAATCCAATTGAAAAATGGGCACAGGATATGAAAAAACACTTCAAAGAACACATTCAGATGGCTAACAAGCACATGAAGAAATGTTCAAAATCCGTAGCTCTAGAGATGCAAATCAAAACAGATACCATCTCAGTCCAGTCAGAACAGCAAAATTTAACAGAACAGCAAGCAACAAATGCTGGCGAGGTTGTGGAGAAACTGGAATCCTTATTCACTGTTGGTGCAAGTGTAAAATGGTGCAACCACTGTGGAAGCTGGTGTAGCGCTTTCTCAAAAAGTTGCAAATATACTATTTGACCCAGCAATTCCACTACTGGGAATATACTTTGAAGAGACCATAACTGACATCCAAGCAGATATATGCACACCCATGTTTGTTGCAGCTTTGTTCACAATAGCAAGGAGCTGGCAACAACCTAAGTGCCCATCAACTCATGCAATATTATTCAAAATGGGTGAGCCTGGAGGACATTATGCTGAGTGGAATATCCGTCACAAAAGGACAAATATTGTATGGTGCCACGGTTGTAAAACAGGACTGACTTCAGGACTCGGGGGAGACTGAGAAAGATGGGTTCAATAATGTATACTGCATTGAAACAGATGAGGGAGAAGACAGTTTAAAAGGGATGTGATTAGGTATATGTCATGACGGGAGTCCAGAGCGAAGGCTGCATAGTGGAGCGGACCTGGGGGGGAGGGATTGTATGAAAGAACTCTTACTTTTCCAAGAGGGGAGTGTACTGGGGGAGAGGATTGGGCAGGGGAAAATGTGCAACAATGAAGGGAAATTCAAAGTCTGATTTAGTAGCAATAACTGACAGATAAATTGTGAAAACTCAATGTGATGTGCTCGGTAAACTTTTACTCAAATCACAGTAAACAGCTAAGAGGGAAGTGGGGAAGAAAGAAGCAAAAGACCTAGAAACCTGAGAATTTTAAGAGTTATAAATCAAAAGAGGAATTACACTGGGAAAGTTTCTCAGGGACCTTTCCAGAGCAACGATGGTCGTCTAGAGACTAAGGCGCACCTGATACAAGCCATGGTCTTTGCAATTACTTCCTGTGCATCAGAGAGTTGGACAATGAAGAAAAAGGATAGAAAAAGAATTGCTGCCTTTGAGTTGTGGTGCTGGAGAAGAGTATTGAACATACCATGAACCGCCTAGAGAACAGGTCTGACCTAGAGAGGGTAAAACCAAGCTGCTCCTTGAAGGCAAGAATTAAGGACCTCATGCTTGGAAAGGTGGCAGGACAGCACAAGAGAGGAAGACCCCAGATGAGATCGATCGACACAGTAATGGAGGTAGATTTGTCAGAGATAATGAGACAGGCCCAGGATAGGACAGAGTTCAGGACTACTGTGCATAGGGTCACAGTGAGTCACAAGTGACTTTTCCAACACTCAGCGGCAGGGTTGCCTTAGGGCAGTGTGTTGATGTTAAAGGTGTTGAAATCACTTGTAACAAGAGAGCAAGGATGATGGTACATGTGGCAGCAGGAATGCAGCCCGTGTCACCGAATTAGGCCGGTGGCAGTGCACTGAACACACTGCTGTGGGTGTTCCAGCACAAGAGCGTGACTGAGCTGCACTGCTGAAGGTTCTGGAATTCCCAGCCTAAGTCCCAGACACGAGGCTGTGAAAAGCCCAGCGGATCTTCACATCCAGATGCAGATTCTAGGCAGCCTCTGGGTAAGCATTTCAATGTGATGCCCCATGAGTAAAGGCTTACAGAAGCTTTTGACTGCTGACAGTAGTATCTGCAGGCGAGGTCTGGTGGCCTAGTGGCAAGAAGCTGTACTGTAATCCTAGAAGTACATGGTTCAAATCCACCAGATGCTTTGCTGGAGGAGGAAAAATCTCCTGTACCAGTCAGATCTGATTTGACGGTACACACACACACACACAATAAAAAAATAGTATCTGCAAACGAGGACCCCCTGGAAGAAATGTCCCCTCAGGAGAGACATCACAAAAGGCTGGCTCAGGGACCCAGCACCAAGGACACAGTTGCCAAAGGCTGGCATCCCTGACCTCCTTGCCCCTGGACCCAACTGCTGTGTCCTGTTATTCTGGAATTCCGATTTCACAAGCAGACGCTGCACAGACATCAGCCCTCTATCTCGGCTTTGTCTTCCTACCAGAGCTCCTGAGCCACCCAGGGCCTGAGGGCCAGCGGGCAGCAGAGGTCCCGCCGGCCACTGCCCGGGGTCTGAGCAGGACACAACCCCGTCTTTGTTAAACTGTGGGGCAGAGAACATGGGTTGGGAGTGAAATGTTACTTTCTACTACTGAAGGGAGTTTCATCCGGCAAAAAGGAGCATAAACTGAAACAAAGCTCTACTATGTGGTCCGCTCGGAAATCCTGGAGAGGAAATCAGGTTCTCAGACCGCGGCGGGCTCAGGGCCAGCCCAGCGGCCCACTGTGAATGGAGGGCTGGCTCGGGGGAGGCCGGACCACAGACGGGCAGGCTGACCGAGGGCTCCTGTGGTCCACAGGACACCCTGATCAAGTCCCCTGCCGGGTCCTGGAGGAATTGGGGGGTGGTCTGTGGTGTCAAGTCAATTCTGACACATGGTGACCTCACATGTGCAGAGTACAATGGTTCCATGGGCTTAAAAAACACTGTTAGCCTTGTCCTCAGAGGCACCTCCAAGGGGAAAAACCAGCCCCACCCACAGGCCTCCTGTGACTCAGGGGGACCCTCCATGCCAGATTCCAGGCTGTTAATCGTCACAGGAGGAGACAGCTTGATCTAGTCCCCAAAGAGCAGCTGGTGGATTTGAACCAATGACCTTCAGGTTAGCAGCACAACATGCATCTAGATACTCTAAGCCATCAAGGCTCCTGAGAGGGACCTCCGGATGACTTCAAAGCGCCAACCTCTGGGCTGGGGGTGGAGCACCTCACAGGACCCTATAGAGTCTGCTGTGGTGGTTAAACGCCACTGAGGAGGCTCTGAGTCTCAGCCACTCCCCGGATAATGGAAGGAAGCGCTGTTCGGTACACACCATCTGCACAATCGTGCCTGTGTCTGAGCCCATCTTTCACCCCGCTTTTCTCAGGAAGCCACTAGATGCCATTAGAGGAGCGGTGGGGGCAGGAAATACAGTGGCAAAGTGTTATTTCCAAAAAGCCTATTGCATCAGCACAAGGTCCACGGACAGCAAGCCTCGTTGGCCTTTCCTAAAGCTCTGGTTGGTGAGACTCAGGCAAGCCCAGCTTCTAAGCTTCTGTCTGCTGCCTCTGTCTCTAGATCCTGGTGTCATTTAATGACCTGGACCTGCAAAGCTTTACCTAATAACAGTACCTACTTTCTTGACCCCACCTACAGCCCAAATCAGTGGAGACAGCTTTGGTATAGGATTCACATAAAGAATGTGGTAAGCATGATATTTTAGACAAGGACACTTCAGATGTGTTATTAGATTCGTGTCAACTAGTTGCATGTTATATTCATAGTCTTTTTTGAATCATTGCCTTTTTGTTGAAAAACAAATGGCCTCGAGCCTGTATAGGTACATTGCTGTTTTTGTGACAAGAAGAAAAAAATTGCATTCTCTTCCGAGGTGCCTTGAATAGGATCTGAACTGGTCAGCAGACCAGCACTTAACTGCTACCTAGGGCTGCTAACTGCAAGGTTGTCAGTTCAAACCCATGGGGGAAAGACGAGCCTTGTGTGTCCTTTAAAGATTGGCAGTATCAAAAACCCAGTGGAGGGTCCCCATCAGTCAGGATGAGCTCAGGGGTGGACATCAATTCAAACACGACTGCTCTCCTACTGATCCAAGACTAAAAGGGGTTGAATAGCTAAGCCTCAGACTCTTGTGTTGTTAGTTGTAGTCAGTCTCTGACTCACAGTGACCCCACACACAACAGATGGAAACACTGCCCAGCCCTCAGGCCTCACAACCCATCGGGAATCAAACCACTGTGAGCCATGAGGTTCTCAATGTTTGACTTTCAGCAAAAGAGTGCCAGGCCTGTCTTTCTAGTCCATCCTACTGTGTTAGCTCTGCTGAAACTTAGTCAACATCACAGCAACAAGCAAACCTCTCCTAAGGCACCTTCCATGAGGTGCACATGCTGGGACTTGCGTCTCCTGCACGGAAGGCAAGAATTCCACCACTGAGCTATAGCAATGCTGTTTCAGCCTATAGATCTCGACAATAACGATAAACAGACACAGAGGAGGCCAGATTCAGCTTTGTGGCCCAGCTGGAGCCATGTCCTGTGTTCCTGAGGGCCTGTCCAACTGCACAGCTCACCCAGCACGAAGCAGGCCTCATAGGCAGACCCTGCAGCCTGAGGTACAGGCCCGATAACAGTCCCTGTCTCAGAGACCCAGCTTCCACCCAACAGGATGCCCAGCTCTGCCAGCATTTACCTTCATGTGGCCGATCGTGAACTTGTGGACGACGTGGTTCCACCAGGACTTCTTGTAGACAGAGAGGTGGCCGTAGTCATGTTGCAGCCACCCAGCCTGAGCCTGGGGAGAGAGGGCCACCGATCCCATCACCAACTGCCACAACACACGCCAGCTCCCTGCAAGGCGGCGTGCAGCGGGCTGTGGGCCCCAGGGCAGGTGGGGGTACCCCACCCCACCTCACCTGAGCGGTAGCAAGGACAAAGGCGGCGAGGATGGTCGAAATCCAGCCGTTGCCGAAGTAAGAGATGATGAACCAGCCGGCGACCTCCAGCACGATGATGTGGGCCAAGACCAGGAGGAAGAACAGGTGACTGCTCTCGAACAGCTTCATGTCCTCAGCGGTCTTCCTCAGGGCCCGGAAGTCCTCGATGATCGGAGACTGGTCGGCAAGAGGCCAGAGAAGGGCATCAAGGGGTGAGAAGCTTGGCCACCGCCTGGTGACCACAGCATCACCAACAGCTGCCATCTGCTACCTGCTTTGTGCCTACTGTGTGCCTGGCACAGCCCTGGGGACCCTGCTCATTTGCCCATGTTATTGTTAAGTGCCGTCGAGTCACAGGCAACTCAGTGACCCTATGAGTGAAAGTTCGACACTGGCGTGACTTTCATCGTTTCTCCAGGTTCATGGGGTTTCTGGAGGCAAGCTTTTACGGAAGTGGAGGTCACTCCTGCTTCCAAGCTTGTTTTAATCGGGGAGCTCCAAACACTGTCCACCATGGGTAACCATTATCACATTTGACAAGTCAGTGTCAGTGTTCAGCTTCACACTGATCACAAGTTACCTCTGTATGGCAAGTGGACATGCCAGGGCTATATGACTTTTGACTTGGTAGCAAATAGCTCAGAAAGAAAGTTTGCCCTTTCTACCTACTCCACTGCCGCCCACCGACACCCCATCACCCACCAAGTCCGTCATTGTTAGGTACACCAAGGAGTCACCTCGAATCCGGGGGTGTAGGACAGAACCAGGCCCGCCTGAACCTCGCCCTCTGTGCTCACCCATGTTGTCACCCAGTTAACCCATCTCCAGGGGCTGAGGTGAGTGACTCAAATAGTCCAGCCTGAAACCCCTGGCCCAGAAAGCACAAAAGGACTTGGTGGCCACTGGGCACATGGAGTTAGGGCTCACGGGTCTGGAGAAAGGGCAAGTCGCTGGGAGGGAGAAGTTGGCCGAGAGGAAAAGGCAGGCCATGGGATAGGAGGTGGGGGAATAAGAACCCTGGAACAAGTGGGGGCTGGGAGAGGGCAGCTCTGGGGGTTCATGGGCCTAGAGGGCTGCAGTTCTGGGAGGCTGGGTGATGGGCAATGAGCAGCTGCCTTTGTGACGAGTTGACCAGAAGGGACGGGATGGGAACCAGAGGGGGGGAACCTGGACTGGGACCAGGAGGACTGAAGGGGGTGATGGAGCATGGCTGGAAGGTGGGCCAGGCCTGGAGTGTGCTCTGAATGTGGGGTGAAGACCACAGTGGAGGAGGAGCAAAGACCTGACATGAGGGAACGGGGGAGGGGGCAGGGATAGGAGCCTGAGCATGGGTGGACCCAGTGCCCCTTCTCGGAACAGCTCCTCTGAACACTCCCTCAGGGGCCCCACTATCTGCTGTCTTCATGTCTGTCTTCTAGATTGTCGCACCCCAGACCTGTGGCTGGCACCTTTGTGGAAAGAAGGGAGAGGGGAAGTGCAGCCCCTGGCCCCACACGACAAACCGACAAACCGTTTGCTCCTCTATCCCCAGCCCCCGACTCACATTCTTGCCACGGTCCTGGCTGGGCTCATCCGGGGCCAGCTCCCCAATCAGCAGGGGCTTCATGAACTTGCGCACGAAGTTCAGGTCGGGGTGGAAGGCGATGAAGGCATCCTGGGGAGGAGAGGGAAAGGAGATGAGGCTGGGATCTCACCTCTGCTCTCTCTGCATCAACTAGTGGGCATCCTTCCATCTGGTCCAAGCACCCCTCTGGCCTGATCTGTGCCCATCTCCAGCTTTGACAGGGCACAGCCTTTGGACAAGTGTGGAAAAGGGGGCTTCTGGGACACACCCCCACAAGTATGAGGTGGGGCCAGTGCTGGATGCTCCAACAGGGCGTGAACCCATAACCTTGTGCAGGGCAGCAACCCACCCACAGCCAGCCAGTTGATTCTGCCTCATAGAAGGCCTCTGCGAGGTGCCTGAGGTTGTCAATCTTTTAAAGAGATGCCCCATCTCCTTTCTCCCTCGGAGTGACTGGTGGACTCGAACTGTTGACCTTTCAGTTAGCAGTCCACCATAAGGAAAAGGGGATGGCGTATTCTCTTAGCTACTTCCTATGGAAAAGGGACGCTGTAGGTTTCAGGGTGAAGATCTTATTAACCCTCCAAGACTGGCCCCATCTATGCTTCTTATACTAGTGATCTCACAACATAGCTATAAGCTGTAAATCACACAGCAGAAGGACTGTCTTTTCTCCCACAGAGCAGAGGGTGACTTCGAACCACCTGCGTTTGGGTTGGCAGCACAACTCCTTACTCAAAAGGCCAAGAGAACTCCCTGTTTACACAGCCTCCAAAAACCTGCTGGAAGGTCAGCTATGAGTCAGTTCCGACTGATGGTCATGAGTTTGAAGACCTTTAATGGTCCTTTTGTAGTCATGGCTTAGAGTTGGCATGATTCATTTGACACATCCATCACTTCTTGATCGTGTTTTAGCGGTGCATAGCAAGTGTGAGGATGGCACAGGATAGGACAGGGTTCAGATCTGTTGTTCATAGGGTTGCTCTGAGTCGAACTCTCGACTGTACCTACCAACAACAATACTCCATTGAGTGGGTGTACCACCGAGTTGCTGACTCACAGCACCCCCTAGGGGCCGCAGAACGAAACCTGCCGGAACCTGATCTCAATTACTCCCACCTCAGGGAAATTGACAAGATTTAAAGGTTACCTTTTGGGAAAGGTTACACATTCGGTAAAGCAGTCTTTTACACCAACCCTCAGCCATTGAATGATTCTGATTCGTACTGACTCTCCATCAGGTTTCTGAGGCTGCGACTTTTTTGGGTTTTAGGCTGCAATTTTATTGGAGATCAGCCATCTTTCTCCCCATGAAGTGCCCAGAAGATTCTATGTAATGTAATATATAATATGTAATGTACTATGTCACTAGATGTCTTTTAGGTAAACTTAACTTTCCCCTCAAAGCCCCCATGTGTGTCAGAGTAGAACTTCACTGAATTTTCCAAGGATGATTTTTCAGAAGTGAGTTGTCATGACTTCCAACATGCCTCTTGGTGGACTTGACCCTCTAGCCTTTAGATTGACCAGCAGCTGAGGCCAGTCACCATCTCCACCACATAAGGACGCAAAGGCGTCAAAAGACACATCTTAGGAGGCACAGAGGGGGGAAAAAATTATATTGCACATATGTAAAGGAACAAATTTAAGAAACCAAACCCAGTCCTGATTCGTGGTAGCCTTCCCCTGGGGCTCCACAGCTGCAAACGAAACAGCTTTCTCCCCAGTGGATTTGAACTGCTGACCTCTTGGTTAGCAGCCTAACATGCACCCCACTATGCTGGCAGAGTTCCTTATATATAAAGGCGACAGCAAGTGCGCCAAGTGTTAAGATTAGTGGATAAAGGATGGAGATACATATTTTCTTAACTATTCTGTATGTCTGGAAAACTAGGAGTGGGGGAGGAATGTGAGAGAAAATGCAACACCGCCAGCAAATCTTTTCGCTGCCACCTGACTCCATCTCCAAAGCATCTCCCTGCGTAATTGCCAGTCTTCTCCTGTCTCCTAAACACAACTCTGGCGCCACGTCTTTGTACTATTTGTGTCCAAAACAGGTTTACAAAACAGCACTTTGTGCTGAGGAAAACTGGGCTCAAGACCGGTTTTATTTCATGTATGTTCCTGTAGTGAAGTGAAAGGGCAGGAGTCCCGGGCGAGCACAAACAGTAAAGCACTCAACTACTAGCAGAAAAGGTGGTAGTTCGAGCCCAGCCAGGAACACCACACTGAAAACCCTACAGGCCTTCGACTCTACGAACACGAACAGCAGGATGCAGAGCAAGTATATGAGCAGGGGCCTGGGCAGTCCAGGAGGCTCTGCGAGACTGGGGACATCATCCCCTCTTCAGGCCTCACCTCATCCTCAAGTGTGGTCCCTCCCCGTTAGAAAGCCTGGGCAGAAAGCTAGCAGAGGCTTCCCGGGAAAAGCCCATCTATTGGTTCTCCCCGCATCGGACGACTGTGTTTGAACAATGAGTCAGAAGTCCTTGGTAAGGCAGCTGTTTCCTAAGGAACCACTGCTTGGCCAGATAACAAAGGGACTACCCTTCCCTTTATCAGTGAAAGTCAAGGGCATGCATCTCAGACCCATCCGCAACCTGCCAGCTCCCACTTCCAAGATCCTGCCTGGGCCTCGAGGAGCAGACAAGACAGGCTCCTGCCCTCGGCCGTGCCCAGAGGGCACGCTGAACCTGTAGCCCTGGAACGCAGGAACAGGAGGGTAACATTCACGCCAACACATAGCAGCCCTGCCAGGCGGAGGGCCCGCTGCCATCGACGGACTGTGGGTGTCCTGTCCCTGGAGAAGAACATCAAGCCGGGGACAGTGGAGGGTCAGCAAAGGAGAGGAAGACCCTCAACGAGATGGATGCACACAGAGGGTCTCCAGCAAACAGAGGTGGTGAAGACGGCGTAGGATCGGGCCGGGTTCCATTCGGCTGTACATCCTACTGTGCGGTGCACCTGTGAGTTTGCAGTGATCCAACAGCATCCCACAACTACACTATCGTATGCACAAAGACTTCGAACTTCACATTCGCGTTAACCTTCCCGTTAAACCAAAGCACCACTAGGAGAAAGAGTTTTAACTCCCCTCTCCTGAGCCTCCCTTCCCTCCCACCCCACCCCCCGTTTGCTTCTTCGGCAATGTTAGTTTAAAAGTGAGACCCCTGCAAGAAATCCAGAAACGGTAGAAAGAGGAATTAACCTGTTTTTTCTTAAAGGGAAACTATGCAAAACTTGTGAACATACAGTATGTCATCTGTCATCCTTAGAATGATAGGAAGAGCGGATCAACACATCTCGGACAAGATCCCTATCCAGGCACCCCAGAAAAAGATTACTGGACACGCCTGCATGTGCACAGTCTGCAATTCACGTCCTTCCCCTATAAAACTTCCCTTCAATCTCCCAGAAGGAAGGTAGATTTGGGGAGTTCATCTCCTGTGCTGTTGTTTGCCATAAAAAATGACTCCTAGCTGACCCTCCAGCAGATTTTTCAGAGGCAGTGAATCCCACTGGAGGAGACTGCCCATCCTTCGCCTGTGGAGCAGCCTGTGGACGTAAACCGCATGCCTTTGGGATTGCAGCACAGCGTCTTACCACCAGGTCACCAGAGCGCCCTGGATATTGTTGGGTGACTAACTCCTAGCGACCTGTGCACAACAGAGGGCCAGCTCTGCCTTCTTCTGATGTCTGCCTGACACGCTCACCATCGCTGGTGCCCATTAGCCAAGGTTGCAGTCCCTCTGTCAGCCCATCTCGTGCAGCGTCTTCCCTTCCTCCAATGACCTTATTTTCCAAGCACGACATCCCTACCCAAAAAGTGACCCTCCCTGACAACCTGCCCAAAGCACGTGAGACAAAGTCTCACCAGCCGTGCCTCAGGGCATCCAGGCTGTACTTGTTTGATCTATTGGGTGTCCATAGTATATTCAATCTTCTCGAAGACTGCAATTCAGAGGCATCGAATCTACTTCAGTCTCCCTTACTGTCCGACTTTCACATACGCATGAAACAACTGAAAACGTTTTGGCTCAGGGTACCTTAATATCTAAGTGGCATTGCGTGCCTGAGGTCAGAAACAGAATATTGTTTTTGTTACCACACAGAAGCCGCAACATCCGCCTCCACAGGTGAATCTGAAGCCCAGGAGGGTGGGGACCTGGTGCAGGTGGCACAGCAGGGAGCAAGGAGAGTGCCACTTGAGCCCAACGGCTGCCTTTTCCCACAAGCCTCTGCTGACCCATTTGTTGACTGTGGGAGAAGGGGCAAGTCACAGACTGTTCTAGAACACACCAAGCTCATTCTCACCCCAGCAGCTCTGCCTCTCATGTATGAGGCCAGAACATTCAGGTCTGAGTCTAACGTCACCTCAAAGAGCTGCTATCAAGCAGACCCGAGTCACAGGCTATGAAACAAGGTCCAGGCCTGTGCCGTCCCCATGATCGGATTGTTGGGGTCCTTGGATGGCTGTTTCCACTCTGGAAGCAGGTCTCCCGGCTTCTCTTCCTAGTCCTCTTGAGCTTGGAAGTGCCAAGACAATCTGTTTAGCATCAACAAATGAACAAAAATCCCAAACTCCTGCCTACAAGAGAGCTCTGGTGCCCTCCTGGTAAGAAGCTGTGTTGCAATCCTGAAGGCACACGGTTCGGATCCACCAGCTGCTCTGCAGGAGAAGGCTGGGCAATGTCTTCTCGTGTGGATTTACCCCCTCTGAAAACCACCGGAGGGTCAGCTATGGGTCAATTCTGACTGGACAGCACACCACAATAGTAATGACTGCTGATTCAGACCCCTAGCATCCTCCACTGGGCTCCCAAGGCTGTAAATTCTTCATAGGAGATGACTGCCCATCATTGTCCCTCAGAGGTACTGGATTTGAACCACTGACCTTTCAGCTAGCAGTGCTATAACCAGCAAACCTCTACCCACCAACAGACGGGTGGAGACTGCACAGAGGCATCGGACAGGAACCCTGGCTTTCTCTGTATTATCGTCTTAGCAGTTATGATCAAAATTATTATTCCTGACTTCTTTCACGCCTGTGTCCCCCACTAGCATTTAAACTTCCCAGGGGAGGATGGCAC